TGTCTTGGGGGGGGAGCAACTTGGGGTGGAGTCTTTGCCCCAGGTGAGGGATTGTCTAGCTTCGCCACTGGGAAGGAGAGCAGAGTGAGCAGAGCCCAACATTAACAGTTATTTACAAAAATGGTTAAAGTAGTATTAAACGCTCCAACTTTTTTCAATAATGAATCTAGATCAAACAAATATACATTGCCCAGGAAATCATTTCTTTATATTTCTACCCCTGCCCTTACAGTCATCATGTTTCCAACGCTCTAAGCTCTGCTTCTTTGAACTTCCTGTCCAGTATAAAATCATAAGGAAGGCACAATCTCCAGCAGGGGCGGACTGACCATTCGGTCCGTCGGGCACTGCCCGAGGGCCCGCGGCCTTCAGGGGGCCCGTCACAAGCGCTGCATAAGGTGGGGTATTAAAGGGGATATGGGTTTGGGGGGGGCAAAAATAATTTGCACCAGGGCCCTTTGTTCCCTAGGTCCGCTACTGACTGCAGACGACAGGCTTGGGGAGAGAGAATTCTCAGGGGGACTGTTTCAAAAAGAACCGGTAAGTTTGATAACAGATTTCATTTTAAAAGGAGAACCATGGGGTTAAGGCTTTTCCACATAGCTGGCTCTGCCTATCTAGAGGCAAATTACATCAGAAACTCATAAGCTTATACGAAAGCCTATGAGATTCTAATGCAATTCGTTAGATTACAATAAAAGTATTATCGGCTTCTGCCATCATCTGTTTATAAATGCATAAACACTACAAATGTAGCCCAAAGTTAATTTTACATAAATATGAGTTCAGAAAATATGTTGATCCTACCAGAAATGCAGTGTTATTTTCACTTCCTGCGAGTTGAGCTGGAATCATAAACAGTCTTATCTTCTGTCTCTAAACTACTTATCTCCCTATTCCCCATATAATGGAGATGTAAAAAGTTGGATGAATGTCCATCCTGGGTGGTAACCATGGTTCCCTCCATAGATACAGTGGAGAAGTGAGAGTAGCCACCCAAGGGCAGGCAGCTTGTTATTTGCAGAATTATTAGATGAAAATAAAGGGTGGAAAAATTAACCCAGAAATCCAATCTATGGACTGTTAAACTGAAATACTTAAAATGGTGCTGGTTTAGCAGTTCCCGCCAATTTTAAAACTGCACCTATTATCAGCAGCTACAGCGGGTTCCACGTTATAAGCACTAGCTGTCATTGAGGGCATTTGTGGTCAGAGTTACTTAGGCTTCCGAACCTTCATGACCCCTACTGATACCAACCTGATGTGTGCCATGATTTTGTGGTCAGCGTGCCAAATAAGTGGGCACGCTCTAGTGAAATGATAGAACCTGGGGAAGGGCGGGAGGGTCAAGCGCGACCTCGCTGTGACGTGCCCTGAAGCTCCCTGTCACCCTTCTTAAGGGGAGGAGAGCCGCCGCAACTCCTCCCACAAACACGGCCAAGATACCTTGGCCTATTACTTGTCAATGGGCAAGCCCAAGAGATTAGTATGATTAACTCATTGGCTTCTGATTCTGCTACAGAATGCTAAAAAAAGAGTCCTCCGCAGTGCACCTGCATTGTGTTAAAGAAGTGCCATGATGTCACATGTGACTTCATCAGCACTTCTTGTAAGTCCAGCAGTCATCTTTAACTGACTATGGAAGAGCTGCTTCTGCTCTTCACTACCTTTCATAACTGCAAAAAAATCACTCTTGTAGTAATCAACTGCTTTCTGGGCTTGTTCAGGTCTGCTCTAACGTAATTCCAAACCCCATGCACACTTGTGAAAATGTTGCAATTATGCAACTTTGTGACAGAAAACCTGGCTTATTTAATTTTTCATTGTTTAATTTACACAGATTTTTTTCCTGGGTGCATTCCAATATGTTATTAAACAAGTCAAAAATTAAACTTTTACTTTTAGCTTTACTATTGCTCTGTCAAAAAAAAGCACACTTATGTAATATCCTTTCAGCCAGACGACTTTCTCTGTTATATTTTTTGTGTAAATTTCTTTAACTTTGCAAGTTACATAAAAGATGCATTATTAAAATTACAGGAAAGTGAATTTTGTAAATTTTAGTTTTCACTATTCTTTCCTAATGCAAACCTAATATATTAAAATATTTATTTACAAATGTTCTACCAAATTAGTCATATCTGACCCCACCAAAAAACTGATAAGAGTACACTACAAAAAGTAGATTTGATAAGGTGCAGAACTGACACCTGTCTATAACAAAATAAAGGTCAGGGACTGGTAAATGAGGGGAAAATGTTCTGGGATGCAACAGTAAATCAGAAAAATGGCTGCTTTCTATGCATATACTACCGTGTTTCCACGAAAATAAGACCTACCCCGTAAATAAGACCTAGTACTATTTTTTGTAATTGCTAAAATATAAGACCTACCCTGAAAATAAGACCCAGTTGTGGCCGGTGGTGGCATCAGGCGGAACTTGAAGAGCCGCAGGAGAAGCCGGAGAGAATCAGCGGAGCCAGCATAAGCTGGAGGAAGCGGGGCGGCAGCGGAGGGAGCAGAGCCGCATAAGCTGATGCTACCTCCATAGCGCCGGCTCCTGTCACAGGCGGAGTGATTCCAAATGCACTCCGCCTGTCAGGAATCATAGTGAAAGCACTCATTCAGCGATTGGTTACCAAACTGCTGAAAGATGAGTGCAAAAAGAGCTATTCCGTCAATAGAGCTATTAATGTTGTACATTTAAAGAGCTATTAATGTTGTACATTAAGAAAAATATATATATAAGACCTACCCCGAAAATAAGACCTTGTCTTACATATTTTTTGGCTCATAAAAACTAGGTCTTATTTTCGGGGAAACACTGTATTATGCATTTGAAAATCAAGTAATAAAAATTAGTTTGAGAAGCATTAAGACTTTGTTTATACCTTTACAGGATGGGAGTACATGTGATGCCACATGCAATCCTGCATCGCATGTTGCAATGTTAAATACTGTGCCAATTTTTTCTAAATGTCACCACAACACACATAGGGCCCATTCACACCACATCCAGATAATCTCCAGACCAGATTGTTTCCAGACCCAAAATGCATCCTAATGTATCCCTATGCTATTTCTGGCCTCTGTTAACACCAGCGCAGTCCGTTCCAGACCAGACAAATACTGCATGTCTCATTTTGTCTGGTCTGGAATGCACTGGAATGCATGGAAACGCATCAAAAACTCATACAAACGCACTGGAACGCACCTGAAAGCCCATTTTAAGCTAAACAACTAGCACAAAAAATTGCTCAGAAACATGGAAAAAATGCGACAAAACGCAATGCACTGTGTTCCAGATCTGGTCTGCAAAATGGTGTGAACCTGCCCTTAAGATGGCCATACACCTATAGATTATATGCAGATTTTCTATGGTCAGAAGGAAAATGTGCAACAGATTCCTCCATCTACGCTAAACTGTGTGGATGAAGGAATCTCCCACTGGACCAAGCTTCAGTATCCTGCTAGTCGGCCCGCTGGCTGTCAAAATACCTAAACAATCTGATTGGATGCAGGCATTGTTCAGGTATTTTGAGAGCCAGCGGGCCAACTAGCAAGATCCTGAAGCTTGGCCCAGCGGGAGATTCCTCCATCCACATAGTTTAGCGTAGACGGAGGAATCTGTTGCACTTTTTCCATCTGACCATAGAAAATCTGCAGATAATCTATAGGTGTATGGCCAGCTTTAGCCAGTGCATGTGCATTGTATTGCACCACATCCCATGGTAAACCATAACCACGCTTTGTGGTACAATTCAATTTTTTTTAAAAAGTGCTTGCACTTGTTTTAGTGTAATTTAGCTGCGATAGGCATTCCAAATGAATTGGCTGCCCTACAACAGTGCCACACAACATCCTTCAGCACCTCTACGATGTTGCATTGAATGGAGGCTAAAAGTGTGGATGGATTACTGTTTATCATAAAAATTAACCTCTGTTGTTTGTTTAATATACATTTTTTGTTTTATTACACCAGGTAATAATTGAAGTGACCGAAATGCTTCACAATGCCAGCCTACTTATTGATGACATTGAAGACAACTCCAAACTTCGCAGAGGTTTCCCAGTTGCCCACAGCATTTATGGTGTTCCATCTGTTATAAATTGTGCAAATTATGCGTATTTTTTAGGATTGGAGAAGGTTTTAACACTTAATCATCCAGATGCAGTCAATGTTTTCACAAGGCAATTGCTTGAACTGCACCGTGGGCAAGGATTGGACATATACTGGAGAGATACATATACTTGTCCTACTGAATCCGAATACAAGAGTATGGTTTTGCAGAAAACTGGAGGTCTATTTGGTCTAGCTGTAGGCCTCATGCAGTTGTTTTCATCTTATGATAAAGATCTGAAACCTCTACTAAACACCCTGGGACTTTTCTTTCAAATCAGAGATGATTATGCAAATTTAAATTCTAAAGAGTATAGTGAAAACAAAAGTTTCTGTGAAGACTTGACAGAGGGAAAGTTTTCATTTCCTACAATACACGCAATTTGGTCAAAGCCTGAATGTACCCAGGTCCAAAATATTCTGCGGCAGAGGACAGAGAACGTAGACATCAAGAAATATTGTGTGCATTATCTAGACAAGGTAGGATCCTTTGAATACACAAGGCAGACTTTAACAGAGTTAGAAAAGGAAGCATATGGACACATTCAATTATTAGGGGGAAATCCTGAGCTAGTTTCAATAATTGAACATCTAAGCCAAATGTATAAAAGCCCATCATAATCTCACCAATTGCTGAGTGTACCAGAAGTGTAACTTACTACTTAATTTTGTTTATCAATAAAATATTAAATACAACAAACAGATTAATTGTGCAATTCTGTTTTTGTTTTTTCATTTTTTTCTATATTAAAAGTAGACTTAGAACACCTTACTATTCTTCTGTATAGTGTAAACCAGTACAAAACAAAAACAGTCCTGTAAACTCTATTAAAGTGATATTAGGACTTTAGTTTTTTGGGGGGGTTTTTTACACCTAGGAGGCCCACCTTTTTCCTTAAAAATATTCAATTCCTCGTTTTCTAGTGGGTCCCCGCATCACTCTCTCTCCCACCCCCTGCGGCTGTTGTAGCGGCACCCATGCATGCGCATTCCCGGCCATGCCCACGGTAGCTGTGTGCGTCCATAGACACACACAGCCCTGCGACAGGCCACACCCCTCCTCTTCTCCCAACAGGTTGATTGACAGCAGAAGGAGCCTATGGCTCCTCCTGCCCTCAGTATTCTTCCACAGGAAGTTCAGGTAAGTGTGGAGGGGACGGGGAACACAAAAAGGCACTTGTCGTTTTTTACCTTAATGCAGAGAATGCATTAAGGTAAAAATTGACCAGCCTTTAATACTACTTTAAGCCCTATCAGACTGAATGCAGTTATGGAACACATACATTTTACATACATCTGTAACATTGTCCCCCTTCCTCTGTTGAGTATGATATGCCACAGCAAGAGCTGTTATAGCTGATATCCATTTCTCACTGGCATAGTGGCACATGCTCACAATTTCTCCAGTATCAATGTCATGACCCTACAGGTGAAACTCGAATAATTAGAATATCGTGCAAAAGTAATTGCAGTAAGTGCTGCAAAAGGGGCCCAAACCAAGTACTGAGAACATATGCATGCTTGTACTTTTCAGAGGTCCGATATTGTTCTATGTACAATCCTTGTTTTATTGATTGCATGTAATAATCTACTTTTTTGAGGTTGTGGATTTGGGGTTCTTGGGGTTTTCAGGAGCTTTAAGCCATAATCATCACAATTATGACAAATCACGGCTTGAATTATCTTGCTTTGCATGTAATGAGTCTATCTCATATATTAGTTTCACCTTTTAAGTTGCATTAGTGAAATAAATGAACTTTGCACGATATTCTAATTATTCGAGTTTCACCTGTATGTGGGTCATGTTCAAATATTCCAAAATTATAACCTAAATTTCACACAAATATTTTTTACCACAAAGTATTATTCTATATTACTACTTTACTTTCTGATGAGCTTTAAACTATTTCACCTTCTGTGTTACACAGTCATACCCTAATTGGCTGTTAACTTTTCCATCTTACATATAATATCTATATACTCAAATAGATTACAAAATCTCTCACTTTCTGTACAACCCCTACATATTCTAATAGACTGTAAACTTATGCACCCACGCTAATAGATACCAAGCTTTTCTACCTTCTGCATCCTCTCTTATACCCTAACAAATTGTAAGCTCTTTCACCATCTGTGTTTCTCTTCTCATTCACGTCCTGTTTCAGTTACACATGGTCTTAGCCATAGCTGGTTCATACTACCCCCTCCCCCCAGTACACTAAATACCTTTACAACCATATAAAGGAGGTGCTACGCAGCCCAAAACAATTTGCATAATGAATCATCTAAAACAATACACAATAAATGCCACGTCTAAAATAACAATGTATACAGTATACAGTTGCAAATGCATAGGAACCTGGTAAAGGACACAACCCAAACTCTGAACAGCTACATGGTCCTTTATCATTCAAGGAACAGGTATAAATCCCAGCGGTAATTTAACCCTTGTGGTATTCTTGTACCAAGCCTATGACTCCACAGTGTCTCTTGCTCCTACAGCTTTCTATGATGGTCCCTACCTTTTACGTGCAATGTTATCCTCTCCACACCACAAAATAAAAAAAATGACATTGCCATTATGGGCTTGCATTAAATGTTTGGCCACATTAGATGGACATATGGCTTTCAGACTACTTCCCCCCTCAAAAAAAAATTCTGATCTTATTTATCAGAGGATATATAGTGCATCCAACATATTGCAGGGAACACAAGAAACATTCAATAACATATACTACATATTTTGTAATGAAATGTATAAATTGTTTAATAGGAAAAACTCTATTTACCAAAGATTTAACCTTTTTTGTGTTCCTGTGTACCCTGCAATAAGAAGTACCTTTTTACTTTTTTTAATCCACGTTTAAATAAACCAACAGTAGATAGCTGAGTTTTATTATTATAATTTTTTTTCTGGTGTCTAAATAACTCAGGGACAACATGGAGCCTAAAGTGGGGTACCCTATGGCTCGAAAATTGACAGCCTAGCACTGATAGTGGGGTAAAGTTCCTTATATCTTGATACAATAGGTAAATTATTTTTAATCATATTTGTCACTGTTTTCTTATACTGATTATAAGTCCTCTGAGAATTAGGATGGGAGGACATTTTTATGGAGGAAGTAACCCAAAAGTCCTATGTCAGTCTAATCTTGTTAAACATTTGATGCAATCCTATAATGGCAATATGTCATTTTTGTCACTATAGATTCATAGGCTTGGTACAAGAATACCAAGGGGTTAAATTACTGCTAGGATTTAGATCTGTTTCTATAATGATATGGGATACTGTAACTAATTAGCGTTTGGGTTGAGTCATTTTACCAGGTTCCTTTGTATCAGGCCCCCCCTTTTTTTTTTTAACTGAAAGCCTTCCAGTCAGTGTTAAAGAGGAACTTTACCAAATCTTTAAAATAACAACAAAGGCGCCTTTAGAACTATTTAATGACAATCAACAAAAAAAATACTTAGCGATAATTGCAGGCTTTGTATTCTTTGCATACCTTATTTCTCTTTTTTTCCAGTCTTCTGACAGTGGCCATTTTAACTAAGGGCACATTTCTAGATCTCCCTTTACTTCCTAGAACTCTGGCACATGTGACTAGGACTTGTGGCCATGTACATCATCTCAGTGGAGGAAAGTGCCTTTCCCTGAGATCTCTTGAGATTACAGATTTCCCACTAATGCACTGGTTATGTAATCTTCCCAAGATGTAACGCTTGGGCACGATTACATAATTTGTGCCAAAGTAGACCAGGAAGTGGATGAACTCTATTTGTATATAAACGAAAGATATGTTTGTTTAACTAATGAATGTAATATGATTTTATATCAGCATGCAGAGCTTCATATGATATAAATTCAAATCTGCGCTTATGGACAAGTACCCTCAAATAAATAATAAAGGAAAAAAGCTGCTGCGCCTCAGAAAACTTGGTCCCAAATAACAAATTGATAATATATATGCAACGCTAGAAATCCTTAATCCTTTAAATTAATTAATTAAAAAAAGGGTGAACAAATATTAATTGATAAATAAGTTACCGTAACAACACAATGTGCATAGTTATACAAAAAAGTGCAACATGTTGTGCCACATGAATGTGAATAAATACTCATTTCATAACATGATCACATAATTATGAATTCCTTTCATCATATAAAAAACCATATGAAATAATCCATATATAAAAAACATGAGAAAAAAAACGTTCTGCTCAAAATTCATATCACACCCAGAGTGATTAATAAATAATCCATGAAAAATGTTCAAATAGGTGCAACGTAAGTGAAAAAAGTTCAGATAAGTGCAACGTATATAGTCCCAAAGTGCTTAGTGATTGCTCCAGAAGTTGCGTTGTGCCACACAGACATCCCCCTAAAGGGTGCGCACTCACCGCATATAGATGGCTGTTGGTTGGCAGCCAAAATAAGCTCACTGATAAGCCAAAATGTTTCCCAGCTTCTTCCTTGTATACCTCCACCACGATAACCCGTGTATAATGAAGTCCCCACATTCGTAAGAAAAAAGAACTTCTCGTTGTGCAGTAAATCAAGTTAAATTTATTGAAAACACATTAAAAACTCACACCAAAGGTAAGAGATAACCGGCTGGTAAAATCCAACGAGCGCCCGCCCGCACTTCCGCATTCGGTGTAGCGTCAAACAGACCCGCCCTGACGCGTTTCGTCATTGAGACGTTTTCAAGGGAACAACAGGTCTGTTTGGCCACACCATTCTTTTTCATTTATAGCAGGCTTAAGTCAGGCATTCTAAATAGGGTTGCACAGATACCAAGTACAGTACTCGATACAAGTACGAGTACATGTACCGATACTTTTGAGCTCCAAGACTACACTAGAGAAAAATGTAAAAATTAGGAGGCAGCTGTCATTTGTAAGGAGCACACGGAGCTCCTGGCATTTGTGCATCTCTGTTTTAATGTAAGATTTTGTTTTTATAAATATAAATAAAGGGATGCACAGATGCCAGTTTTGCAAGTACGAGTACTGGTACTTGTCGAGTACTTACAAGTACGAGTACTGATACATTTTTGTTTATTGTCATGTGACAATTTTTCTAAAACAATACAGACTGATTTCAAGACAGTGGTGGAGTGCCAGAGCCAGGTCCCAGCTGCAACCGCTGCAACCCTGGTAGTTCTCATGAAAATGGCAAGTATCTGCACTGGTACTCGAAAAGTATCTGTGCATCCCTAATTCTAAACAAACACCACTAGATGTCTCCCTTTTGTTTCCTGTACAAAGCATTCAGCCAGTAACAGATAAAAAGGATTATACAAAACAATATTCAGATAAACCACTAGATGTCCTCCTTTTTTGTTTCCCATATAAAATATTCAACTCATAAACAAATAAATGAATGACATTAAGTAAATTATATAAATTAAGAATAAATAAAATACATAACAGAACTCTAATCAGATATTGTAATAGACAGATAGGAGAATAAAATCTCATTAAAATCCCATCAGATATTATAATAGACACATAAGAGAATAAAATCCCATTCCACTAATCAGAATAAATAAACTAATAATGATAACAATTAAAAATTTAGGGAAGTGATTCAGTTAATTTAATATAGTTGAATATACCTCATAATGTATCTTTAATTATTACTCTAAAAAACAATTAAGGTCAAAATCAATATTAAGCCCCTTGGGGGCCATAGTATCTAGCAAAAAGATCCATTTTGGGAGACCTTACGGGTGAGGTTGGTACCCCT